TTCTCTCAAGAGGGGTCTACACTCACTGTGTCTTTCTGCTCAGCAACTGTCCTCTCTCAAAGTCACTCATCTGGTATAGCTCCAGAGCCTGGCAGAAGACTCTTTAAATAGCACCCATAAAAATAATGGCATCTTTTTTGTCTGAGTGTATTGTTTTTTCTTTTCTCTTAAAGGGACATTTTCAAATAACTTCAACAAAGATGGTGAGCAAGAAGGTGCCACCACAGATGTTTCCAGTTTCAAAAACCCTGTTAATAAGAATCTTTATTCAGTAATAAGAATCCGTGGTGTAAGGGTGAAAGATAAGAAATGATTGGGCTTAGATTAGTGCATCACCACTGTCTCTCCAGCCAGGACATCCTGCTGCTGAGCAGAGATCTCACTAAACACATAGTGCATGTGGAACTAGCCAGCCCAGGCTCTCCTTTCCCAAGAACCAGACTGGCCACTATGAAATTGGGCACTTGTGGTGCTGGTAGCTTTGGTCACATAGCTTTATTCCATTTCTGATTTGCCTTTTCTCACCTAGATGGTAACTAGCACCTAGCAGGGAACTCTGAACCACCCTGACTCTGTCCTAATTGAAGAATTCATCTTCTGAACAGTAAGCAGGTGGTCACATTCTCCCTGCCAGGACACAGGCACTGCCAACTTTAGAGTGTGTGCTTACCAGCTTTCCCCTCCCCTCCATACAAGCACCTCATTTTGGATGGCAGGAGTTCCACTTCATGGCTCAAATGCCTCAATTGCTCTGGCAAGAACTCTTTGGGGACCTCTCATAAGCAGTGGCCTTGACATCATTGTTCTTAACTGCAACAGCTCACCCTCTCCTTTATATCTGTGACAACACACTCCTGACTCTTTTAGCTGTCTGGTCTCTCTGTAGAGCCTTCTCTGGCTCTACTTCTTCTTAATATCCTACCAAAGTGGTCCTACTTGGCTGTGTACTTCATGGCTCAGATTTCTATTCTCTGTTTTCACTTTGCAGGTTATGACATCTCTCACTTTTCAGTAGATTATTCTCAAATCTGCATGCATCCATTCCAACCCCTCATCTTCCTATCTACATGATCTATCATCACCTTAAACAACTTGTATAAAATTTTCTAGAACCATCTTTCTTCCCTAAACACTTCCCCTTTCAGATTTCCCTATTTTTCTTAGAATTCTATATTCTGCCTCCCTGGATCAAATTCTTGGCATTTCAAGATTGAAATGTTCACTTCAACTCTTGTCTCCCAATTTCAAATAAAAATAAAAGTGTTGATTCTCCCTTTGAAATGTCCCCAGTCTCATCTTGCCTATTTCCAGTTGTCAGTCTCGTCTACACAGCAGTTTCTAATTCTAGGTCTTTCCATTCCATCCATCCCTTCACTACTACTAGTTAATACCCTAATTGTAATATAAAATAGCTTCTTACTGTATACCAAATAATTTCAAATGTTTTGGCCTGTTGTTGTTATTGTTGTTGTTTGCCGTCAAGTAGGCCCCGACTCATAGCGACCCCTCCTTGGGTTTCCGAGGCAGTATCACTACGGAAGTAGGATTGCCCAACCTTCCTTCCGA